AATAAATTGCAGTATTTTTATAATTTTGAATATTACATATTTTATTTAAAAAAATATTATGTAATTTAAATTATATTAAATTATGATATTAACTACCCTTTTTATCCAATGATCACTATTTTATTCTTATATTTTGGGGTAATTTAAATTCACTTTTTTTTTTTTTGCCTTCTTTTATATTATTATGAACAACTAGGTTTGAAAGAAAAAAAATCAAACTTTTTAATCCATTTTCTTTTATTAAGGGAGATATTAAGACTTAATTGTAAAAATAAATATATATAAAAAAAACTTCTAAACTTGATATATCCAAAATTCTTTATCATCCTCTCCTTTATTATTTTTTAAGAGTTATTTTGTCAAATTGTTTCCTTTATTATATCCAATGTTTCCTTTATTATATCCAATGTGATTTGATGAGATCATCCAACAAATTCAATGAATGGTATATATTTGAAGGTAAATCTCTTTGTACTGATTATACTTAATTAGACTTTAGATAAACGTTTATTTATGAGGGTTTTTTTTCTTTTTTGATAATGACAGATATCTATCTCTAACTTTAAGGTACACGTTGCATTTCAAATTTCACTCCCCCAACAACCACAGATCCAATCCAATGTCTTAACTTTCATCTTCCATGCCATTTCCATTCAAAAGTTTCATGACAAAACAGAACATGTATAGAGAGAAAGAAGGGCTTGGCTTTGGTAGACTCTTCTTTCTTTTCTCTCCTCACCATAAAATGGGTTTCTTTGATAAAAACATCAAAGTCCTAATTGTGTTCACAGCGTTCAAGCTTTGTGTTGTCCACAAATGAAAAAAATAGAATGTCCAAAGCTAAATATAATGGGAAGGTCCGTCCACTTTTCAGCTCAGCTGCCTTTGCCGATTCTAACTTATAGTCGTACAGAATAAAATAGCCGAAATGACTGAATTAAAATAATCATCTTAAGTCTTAGCTATGTCCTATATTATGAGCATATGCATTTGAGGTCTCCTTAAAGTGTACTCTTCATCTTCCAATGAGTGGAGATAGACAAATTGATCCAACAGTCGTTCATCCATCCATTGCTCTTCTGCAAGAAAGGTTCAGACAGTTGGAGAGAGCCAAGGAGATGAGGCAGGAGAAAGAGCTCTTACGGATGTTGCCTGAATCAAGGCAAGATCAATGCAGCTATAACTTATGTGCCATCTAGATCACTTTTCCACCCTGAACTCATGCTTTCACAGCTGCCTCTTCAGTGTACACTCAAAAGAGAAGCCAGTATGCAGAGCAGGAATACCCAGGTTCAGGCCATTCAGACTCCACTATTGGAGAATTTATGGTCCAGAGACGCTGTCACATGCACAACTTGCCATGATGATATTTCAGATGTTGATACTTCATCTGTGAAAAAGTATTACAATGTTAGTCTACCTAGTAATCTTGTGGTTTTCTTCTGTTTCTTCTTCATGGGGCAGTAAGAATATGGGAAGGAAAAGGAGAGCTAAAGAAAAAGAAAACAGAATATGCAATGTAGCTAATGGCCATTATCTTATGTATCTTCAGAACTACATAGTAATCAGAAAGGCAATTCTCTTATCTCTTCTGAAATGCATTCTCATCATACGTAATGTTATCCAATTTGTCACCGTTCCCTTTCCTCTTCATGATTTTGGGAATCAATTGAGTTACATGTTAGGCCTCTGACATTGCTTCCCCATTGTTTATCTGCTCAGAACAAACAGCACTAACCTTTCGGACATTTGCAGCTAACCTTTCGGACATTTGCAGCTAATATCTGCACCAGGGACAACATTTCGCTCACATTAATCAGTAATTCAATTGTGTGCTCAAGATTTAGCATTATTAGCCTATATGGTTATCACATGGATAATCTATTTTCTAGAAAAAAAAGTTTGGAGTTGAATGTTACACGAGAACAAAGCATATGAATACCAATGAGGGATTGGATCAAGTGGTAAGCGGCTTGTTCCAGCTTAAGTAAGGTCTCGAGTTCGAGATCTTGTGTACGCAGCAGTCCCCGTTGGGAGACTCACCCACCATTTCCAGGTGCACGACGCGGGTCGAGTCCGGATTAATCGGGACGAAGCCCCGGATACCGGGCGGGAAACCAAAAAAAAAAAAAAGCATATGAATTATTATTATCAGTTGCTAAGTTTCTTTTAGCGAACTAAGCCACCAAATGAAGCTTCCCATAGGATGAACAATATAAAGGCAGATTCCTATATGAACAAATGCATGCCCCCATAATAGCATTGATTTCAAAAAGTTATATGTGGTAGAGAGTCAAGAGACTGCATGATTGCTAGCTATGTTTATTTTCTTTCTGAGGTGTTTTACTGAAATCCATTCAGTGCTTTTACCCCGCCTCAAGTCTATATATTTGATGCCTTTCCTGCAAATCTTGATGATCAGATTCATCTTCGTCATGCTTATCATCATCATCTTGATTATCCCTTTTGAGGACAATGTGCATGTGCCTCATCGCGCCTAAGGGTCAAGACCTTGGGAGACGGCAAAGGTGTTTGTCTATACTTAAAAGGCATTTGTTTTATTTTGTCAAAAAAAAAATAAAAACATTTGTTTTAAAGGGTAATTGTTTAAAAAAAAAGATTTTATTAGAGAAATTTAAAAATTAAGAAAAATAAAAAAGTAGATATTAATTTGTATT